CTCGCATCAATTTTGGTACCACCTTTTATTCATCTAGCGGCCTTGTAACTCCTACCGTTGAAAGAAGTCCAATCAGATACAGCAACAAATTTTCGGCTTTAAATGATGACTAATAATGCATGAACGCGTAATGAACCATTGATTTCCCATACTACGAGCATGTATTTCTGTCAATAAATCGATTCTTCTAGAGTGGCTGCTTGATGGCTACTCATGGTGGCCATTCCAATCAAGTCATCCTTAGTGAGATGTAACTCCGTCTCTGTCTTCTCTCTTACGTTTGGCATTCCTTTGTTAGCCACATTATTGGTTGCCTCTGCTTGGCAAGGAAATTAACGATCTAGATGGTGGCACCTTTTAAACAGCCGGACGTATCAGTTTAGAAATGGTAAGTACCAGAGCTATTTGTATTCTCTATTCCAAAGCCATTTTCAATGATTTGCATTAGTTTTTACAAACAGGAGCAATCAAAACCAAATGTTCTTACACCAACCCCACATCCTCAATGACACGTTCCGAGAGATGTTGACCTGGAGCTTCAAATGGACTCCTTAATGACGTAAAAATTTTAGAACTACAAACTTCAACATTTGCTTTTTAACATCCCTAAACGTACCAAACGCTATTTTGAAACTATTTAGAAGTTGTATTTGGGATTTTTGCTACTAATCTAGCCATCATTTACACTCAATTACCAATGCATTTTCGTGTATAATTATAAAACCTGCATTTACGATTTCAACCCTTGGAACTATCAATTTTATCCAATAATATTAATGTAAGAGCTGGTAACAATGACAAAAATGTGTAGCCACCGTGGTACAATTCTCCTTGTTCCCCTCCCCCCTCTCCCCACCCCCCACTCAAAAAGTTTCAGTTGCATGCTTGAATATCGTAAATCGGGCAATTACTTTACTAGTCACTTTTTTCGTGCGAATTCAGCTGAGCATATGGAAAATGACATAAAGAAGAACAGACAAGGACGTTGTTTTTCTTACCAACATCCAAGCACAATCCCGCCGTTGTCATTATATATAAGTAGGCACCAGAGACCTTCCAGGTCTTCATGGAATTACAATAGCTCCATGCATGATGCTCAAAAGGTTTAATGCCAATGCATCTGCAAAGCTGTAAGTTTTCCAGGTTTTTTCAAGCTCGGGGCAAGCAAGTGCTGTAGACCACATTAGGGAATCATGTGGCTCTAACAACACCACATCACTTGAAAAGTCGTTCACTTAACCATCGATGCTGCGTGGTGACTACCATTGCGGATGATTCAGAAACAGACCCATTGGTAACCTGATGTTCCCTCTACCTGATCAAAATAAATTCATTTAGCTAATGCAATTCCAGACGTGGCGTTTCAGCTACTGAAGGGCTCGAACCTTACTCCAAGGACTGCCGTTTTGGGTTTGCCTCAGTTTTGTAAAAGTAGTTAGTCCATACTATAAACAAATGGATCAAACTAAATGTCGAAAAGGATAGCAGTAGGAATATAGGAACGCTTGTAGACTGAGTTTCGGATAATTGGTTTTATGGCACGTTTAGGGCGTGGGCAACAACTAAGGGACGGGACATTTGACTCTCCTTCCCCTTGCAGTAATGGTAATTAAATGCATAGCACTGATGGTAGTTCTGCGCCTACGTTCTCCTAGAACATGATATAGTTAATTACTGTTACCGAATGACTTATAAGTAGGATGCTCCAAATTTTCAGTCGAGATGAACGGAATCCATTTGATTCTTCAAATGCTTCTAGCCCCATAAAAGGATAGCTGCGAATTCTTCCTTAAAATGAAAATTGACATGAGGTTGGGGAATGGTGAGTGTTGTTAAAGTAAAAGAGGATTACAAGGTTGCAGCTGCGGCTCGAAAGGTAGCCTGACCAGTGAGGCATAAATAAACGTAGTTACTGTCTTCCCACTTTAACTCTCCCTTGAAGCTAAGCATAATCATACTTGGGCATATTGAGCTTTAATGGTTACAAGAAGGATGCAGGCAAAGATGACCTATAAGGTCGCAAATAAGTCACCGATTTTTTCAAATTTCTGGTATTATTAGTTTAGCACTTACTTTAATGAGTCCTGCCGATTGCTCTTCTCGCCTCTGTGGTCAGAAAATTAATGCCTTTTCTTAGCCTGTTTGCTTTTATTTATGCTGTATCCTTCACATTTTTGGATGAGGCGTTAGTAAAAGGTTATGGTAAAGAGGTTATAGCCAAAATAGTAACCGACCCACATTGGATCAATGAAACGGGGTTCAACAGTGTTCTTACAAGCATATTTTCTATTTTCAAGATAATTTTTTGGTACGATATATGGTCCTAAATTCAAGTAATATTTGAATGGCACCCAGAGTTCGCTTTTTTAAAAGAAAAAAGATTACTATAATAGAGCCTTTATTGCAGGCAAAGTGAACAGGGGGTCATTTGCATGCTTAAGGGCTTACGGCGTCAAGTTGCAGTACACTAATGCAAATGACAAATGACAAAAGTAACCAAATGCAAAATACATTATATAATCCGATATTGTTATGCGCGCTGTCCCTAGCGTTCGTCTTGGCTGGTCTTTTCAGAGCTATCAAAATTGAGTCGGTAGTGTGAAAGGCACCTACAGGCCAACTTTGTTTGCCATCTTATTGACGCACAACTGAGAAAATCCAACTGCTGCATCGCTAATCACTTGGTGTTGTCACTGTATCATACTGTTGAGAAGATGTATTGAGGGCGAGGACAATGAACTACTTGCAAGAACACAGACCGTATAAGATCATGAAAATGAGACTTCGAGCTTTACTAGCGTTGTTGATTTGCTATTGATTTGTCCTCAATACAACTCAGCCTGGCCATGCATCTGTTCGGATTTAATCCAACCACTAAGAAAGTGGAGGGCCTACGGCTATCGTAGGAAAATCCATAACGGATTCTTTAACGATTTACGGCTAGCGAGAATTTAGTTGTTAATAGCATTTATAAGAATTACGGGATGAGTGATCGCCGAAGGCAGACTTCACTTTCAATCCTCTTATAAAATTCATCACAAATTCTCCCATATATTTTTCTTCATGCTCAGCATCCAGTGATGGAAATAAGAATTACGTTTTTTTTCCTGTCTAGGGGTAGGGTTGGGATTTACAAACATGGCCGGAGACTATTGCTCCAGAGAGATCATAAGTGTCATGACTCAGATTCCCGTAAAACATAAATAACGGGGCAGCCAAACAGTCGAAGTATCAAAATTTCCTCCATAAAGATTAAGGACACCCGGTAGAAAGGGTGAAACGCAAAATCTTCATTTCATTGGTAACATTCATGGCAAATTTGGTAATAGATATGGAGGTAGTAGCAACACTTGTTAATTAGGATTATTCTACTGGACCACCCAAGGGTGGGTTATATTGCTTAACTTGATAAGGAATTTGCGGCGAGTTTTTACCAAGGCATCGTTTGTTAACCTTCCCATTATTTAAGTGAGCATTAATTAAGCTCAGAATGCGCCCAAAACTCTTTGTTATGGCTTCAGTACCCCACAAGTACCAGAGACGAGCAAAAAATGCTTGCAAAAGTCTAGCTGGAGGCTTAGTTAAGGGAACAGGATGCCTCACATCACGTGATTCTCCAGACCAGACACGGCCAAAACAATGTGAGCACATGTCACTTGAGGCTCATGATTAAGTCTCAGCATCACCTCTCATTACCCCACTCTCGGGCTCTACTTAAAAGAGGAAGTTATTTAGGTTCTCACACGCCCTTTATTGAAGGATGGGAAAAGATAGGCTTGATCTTGGTTAGTTGTCCCACTATCACGCACCTCCTTTTTATTTCCGCTATCAAGCAATGCGCCTAAGTTCTTGATTAACATTTCGGAATATTCAGTGGTTTTAACAGTCTATCAGTTTTGGTAAAAACCATTTCAATCACCACCCTTAAATTTTCATTTTGTAGTCTGCACCCACCTTTAACGGAAGTGTTGTGCATTTATTTATTCTACCTTTATCCGCAATTTTTTTGAGCAATTTGGTGGTTCTTTGACCGGGCTTTCTCCTAAAATTTGTTTATTGGGTGGTCATTGTGTCTCGCGGTTCGTGTCTTGTACCTTAGTGCACGTCTATAGTACGGATCTGTGCAATATTGTCACGATAAAGCACTTGTATTACATGCCTGGGTAATTTGCGCCTTTACATCACGCAGGACATCAGTGTTGGTTTAATCGTATGTAGTTCGACCTTAGCCTAATTCCTCAAAGCTACCGACTGGCATAGATGGTGGCATCTTTATGGAAACACTAAGTGATTAACCACATAACATAGGCTTTTTGTTAACGTATTACTAGCCAAAGCAACGAAAATAGCCTTAGCTCTAATGAACCACAAGGTGTGAGCATGCGTGCCAAAACCTACAACGAAAACAATTGATTCTGGCATTAGGTTTTCAACCGATATCCACCCAAACTATAACTGTATCTATGTAGGGCCTCACAACTTCATAAACGTGACGAGATTAAGACAGGTAGGATAGCGTCATAATCGGTATCACTGCTTTCTGCATGGTGTCATGGATCTTGTGTATTTATCGTTTTTGCAGTAATTGCCGGGGGTTTCCTATTTCGTATGAAGTTTAGCTCTCCCTGTAGAGAAGAGCATTTGTCTAGAGACTTTGGATTCGCAACCATCAAACACTCTTAAAGTGACATGGAACCGACAATTTTTACGCGGTTATCCGAAGTGCCCTAAACTCGTCTATTTGGTTGGAGCTTTGTATAACTTTACGTGTTCTACACTGCAGCTTTATAAATTTTTTGTCTATATTCATAAAGTCCTTTCATCATCAGAGTCTAGTACTTTTTGTTCATTGGCTCTACTGACAGGAAGCCAATATTATTAGTAATACAACATATTTGTAAAATGTGAAAGCTTTTTTGGATAGTACAAAATAAGCGAAAGGGAATAATATTGTTAATCCTAACGAATAACGTTCTACAGGGCTTCTGACGGACGTAGTTCTATACTTCCATGTCCGACTCTTCATCAGGGCCGGGGCTTGAAAAGAAGCTTTCGCCTTCTCGGGAGACTCCTTCTTGTATCAATTCCGTGCTAGGGAAAATGACTGCTTCTGGTGCCAACAGATCAACATTGAGTATGTCATTTAGAATGGCCTCGTGCACAGAGTATCTTTCTGGATGTGGTATAACGGGAGTGTTATCTTCAGCACCTAGAGTTGACTCTCGAGACTCCAACAATGGATCTGGTAGGGTGGATGTCGATGGCATGGGAATTTTGATTAATTCACCGCTCGTAAGATCGATGAGTCCCTCTGCTAGTGCAGTTGAAAGATCGACACGCTCATCAGTCGACTTCTGAATAAAATTCACTCGGTATGTTCTCCTTCGAAGGGTCGAAGTATTCCATAGCACTTGACATTCCACTGGATACTTGCGTGAAGTGCTGTGTAATGCGATTCCCACACCTCGTGGATACTGCTTTTCCACAATAACAGCATTTGCTGTGATGGCCGTTGGTAGTGGCATAATAGTCCCACGAGTGTCATCCACGTAGACCATTCGAAGAATACCTCGGTAGAATGCATCCGCTGCCGAAATAACTTCACCAGTACCTGGCACCCTCGCACCAACCAATGAAATTCTCAGCAGCTGACCAATTGTGTCGACATCCAGTTGGTCCTCACCATCCAGATAACGTGGTCTCCAGGATACCACGCTCACTGTACCACTTTCAGGATAGTTTAGTTTAAGACCCGCTTGCTGCATTTCGAAGTCGCTAGTGTAGGCGCTTAATGCTCGACTTCTTAGCAGACGGTCAATATATTGGTTTTCTTCGGCTTTCGTCACTTCTGTTTGTGTTCCAAAGTCGAGAGGTGTTCTAGCCAACCATTTGAAAAGATTGCGTCTAGGATGCCATGAAGATAAATCGGGATCCCAATCATAGGTTTCATCTATATCAGTGCTCTCGTCACTTTCAATATGGATAAGGTGTCCGGGTGGAAGTGGGATCCACTGCACGTGGGAAATACCTTCTTGGACTGCTGCATCCCTTTTACCGTAGCCACGGTGGAAGCCTAATGACGGAATCGAGTATTGAGTCGTGACATCGGTATATCTTCTGCCTGGGAACGTACGTGAAGTGCAGAACCCATCATGAATCTCTTCATAAATAGCTTTTTCCTCTTCTGTCTCCTCCCAGATTTGACGCAGCATGGAGTAGACTCTTTCAAACCCAACTGCCTGTACACACCGTTGAAGGCTTTCTTCTGTGCGTTCTTCCAGTTTCATTTGTTGCGTTTTCAGAAGTTCTCCCACGTAAGTGTTCTCGGAATAGAGGTCCCCCTCGCTGTGTCTGGGCAAACTGTCCTGCAAATGATTGGTTCTAAAATCTTCAAATATGGTATCCATTGAACGATTTCGTCTGTTGTAAGTTGTCCCTCTTACTGAAGGAGAACGAATTCGACTGGCATATCGTCTGGGAATGTTCATGGAGGTTGAACGCTGTTGCTGGTATGAGTATTGCTCAGTCATGGTGGCCGCACCATGCTCCAGGACGTTCAAATGGAGCGTGGATGGAACACTAAGGGAGTATTCTTGCTCCTGTGTGGCCACTTGAGTTTTGAAAGGAATGAGGCCTTGTGATTTGACCCTCCGCTCCTTAGGCACATGAGCGGTTGTTTCTCGAACAAATGAGAAAAGAGGTTCACTTACTTTGGCATTCCTAATAGGCCTGTGGATTACCTCTACTTTAGTAACTGATGGTGGCGGCGCCACATTCTCGGTTTGAGTGCTTTCTGTGTACATTTGTGGTGGGATCGGAAGTGGAATCTGTTCGATGATTGCTGTTTGTGTGATTCCAACCATCACCGTTGGCTTACATTGAATTCCCCACTCAATTTTGTGCACTCTTGGACTTGGAGGTGATCTTCGCGGCTCGTACTGCGAGTCCTGGATGCCGATGTGAACTGTATCTTCGATTGCACCGATACCTTTCTGTATTCGCACGCTCCGTACGCTGGTCTCATATTGAGTGCCAAAATCTAAAGTCTCTTTCATTACAGGGGCTGCATAAAGTGGAGATAGAGACGAAGGTTGCTGGATAATAAAGGGTTGCTCGACAAATTTCGTCTGACTTGAGGAAACCTTAAGCAAGTCGCTATGCGCTTGTATTTCTTTGAATTTAGGCGTAGGTTTACTTAACTGAATAGAAAGCGGCATTTCACTCTGGATTTCAAATGACATTAACCCTAGTTTCGGCGCGGTTGCCTGGACTTCTGATGTCTTCATAAACTCCGGTCGAACCATCAACTTTTTGTTTATCTTTTCAAGCGTTGGTATGATAGGTTGAGTTTCTGCTTGGACGATTGATGAAATCATGTATGAGGGAACAGGTCCACAACTTGCTTCGAAAGTTTCGTTTCTTGGTGCTGACATCATGATAGTTGTGGAGGTTGACGGCTTAATAGGGACCTGTTCCTCCCAAGGCGTTTGAGTTGCTGCTCTAGCAAGCCCTATTGGTTGAACTTGCAGTTTCTTTCCGAAGCTTTTGACGCCCGTGGATTGAGTCGTTGCTATCGCGAGCCGTTCTGGAGAAATTTGCATTTCTTTATGAGTGAGAGGTACACTTTTCTCGACTGATTGTGAAAGAGCCACTGACAACGGACGAACCTTGGGTTCGGAGGACTCGGACCGAATTGATTCCACGGCGACTACACTCAGCTGTTTAGGCGTAAATTGTAACTCCTCAGAGAAGCATTTAGAAAGCGGAAGGGGATCAACACCTGCTTGATAGATTGATGATGGTGAAACTTGAATTGAAGCGTTAGCATTTGAGCATGAAATAGTAGAACATGAACAGTCTCTTCTTTCCAATGGAGGAATGGACTTTAAAATAACATCCGAAGGTTTGGATTTCAGGACGGCCGGATTCGGTTCAACACTAAATGTTCGTAATGGTGCAACATCCATTGGAAGAGGTTCAGCCTGCAACATCTTGGAGAGGGATGACTTGCAACGTGATTGCGTGGTAGCAATTTTGTAAATTAATTTTATAGGTTCCTTGAAAACACATTGCGTGTAAGCTATCGACAAAGACTCGGCATCAACTTGCGTAGATTTCCCAATTTTCTCAATGTCGAATGATTGCGCAAAAGCAGTACGATAAATTGGAAGATCTGGATGCATTGATTCCACATAAACTGCGGCTAAAGCTAAAGAATCCGGACTAACTTGCAGCTTTTTGCCCTGTGTGCTAACACGTACGGAGTCACAACTGAAGTCATGAGTGGTGGGTGGTGGGGC